GGGAAATATAGCTTTCATAAAAATGCCACTGTGCTGACCTCCTCCTCCCCCTCCCAGATCCCTTCGAATGCTTTTAGAGAGTCACAACTTCCTACTCATCTCCAAAATGTTGTTTTTCGACTTCTCTCACTTCAGCCACCTCCGCCACCGCCACCGCCACCGCCTCCCCTCCTCCCCTCCTCCCCTCTGCAGGAGGTCCAAAGCACTTCTGGGTTAAACAGTAGCTGGAGATGTTTTGAAGAGGATGAATAGAAAAAAGCATGACGAGCACTAGATTTGTCTCATCTTTCAAGCGACCGCCGCCAACGATAAAAATCCTCCACAGACACACAAACACACAAACAAACCCTACACACGCTCGCTGTGCATTGGAAAGAATTTGTTTTCATCTTTGAAAAATGTCCTATTCTACAGCATCTTTGTAATCAAGTGGGACAGTTTGACTAATAATATGAATCTGCATTTTGCATGAATATTTTGACTCTTATTGTGCACCATGTTATATTGATTCTGTCCCAGCTGTCAATCCCCTCTCTGCTCAGGGCATTGTTGCTCATTTTTCATTGTTGACTAAGTCACATCCCCAACACACAAAGCACACGATTGATTTTTAAAATGGTTGATTCACCTATGACATAAAAACACTGAATATTTTCTTTCTTAAAGCAGAGTAATGTGGTTTTATTTGTCTGGGTTTTCGAGAGATCATACATTAATTTTGTTTGTGGTGTTTAAGGCATTAAAAGCAATCAACGTGTCTTTCCAGAAACACACTGTGAACAGTTTTCATGGACTTTTCATTTGTGGAAAGAAAATTGCACAGAAAAGTGATGACATGTAATTTCCAATACTTTAAGCACCACAAATAAAATACAAGTCACCTTTATTGTACTGAAGTGGTTGCAAACAGACCCTTTGAGTCAGGTGGTGACTGATGGTTAGCTTTGTTTAGAGGAATATGAGGAGGCTGGCACAAGACAAAAACGCCATACAACACTAAAGTCAACAAAAGGCCTGTGAATGTGTCCTTTACATACTTTAAAAACGGAAATCTCAATCATAATTAGGACTTTATTTCATGCTGAAAGTGACACCTTGCACAAAATTCAAAACCAACTTGGCAAACGGTCAAAGGTTAGTATAGATAACTTATCGTTTGCCAAAAATGACTTTTGATGATTTTTAACAATGCATCAGAGCTGTGTGGCGTTTACAGTAGCAGACATATCATTGTGCACAGTGTCTGATGTACTGCAACTATGTTAAAAGTTAAAAAACAAGACTCCCTAAGGGGGGGTAGATGTATAATTTGTAAGAAAATGACATACAGTGCACAGTGGATAATCATTAACTCTGTTGATCAAGCAGCAACTGCAAAGAGGCTGTCTGAATGACATGTATTTGCTCTGTACGCGCTCACACACTTGATTAATGAGTATAGAAATCACAACAAATCCAACTGAGATATGCATTTCTGACCCCTGATGATAATAATACTTTTTCACAGTTTTCTAATTGCAAGATGACAAACAACAGAACAACAGGAACCAAAAGCACTTCTCTCTCTCTCTCTCTCTCTCTCTCTCTCTCTCTCTCTCTCTCTCTCTATCTATCTCTTCTCTATCATCTGTGCACTTCTTGCCAGCTGTTTTTCGCCCATTATTCCAAGTGTGCGGCAATTAGGTTCAACATGGTGGTCAACACTTGATTTGCCCTCTTCTGTTAAACTTAATGACACAAAAGTAAAGAAACACTCAACAATGATTTCAAGACAGAAAAAAAAGCCTCACTGTAATATGAGGTAAAATAAAAAATATATATCCCTCTATTATCATGTCTATGTCCAAAGGTGAGGCTGTTGCCTTGATAAGCTTATTAAGAACAATGAGCTACAGCCATGAGGGACGGACACTGAGCTCAGTTGACGTTGTTCTGGGGTTAATGACTGTAGCAGTGCCGTGTATTGGCGTATCGATCCGTAGTCTTATCTATCAGTCTCTAGGGAGGGGGGACTCACCTCTCTGCTGGGCATGGCAGCATTGCCATAGCAACGCGATCAAAAGCACGAGCCGCTTCATTTCGTCCAATCTGGAAGTTTGATACCGCACCGCGCGCGCCGTGTGCTCTCGCGCGGCTCTGCGTTGCGTTTAATGTCAGAGGAAAGTTTCAGAAAAGTTGACCCAAACTCTCTCTCTTTCTCTCTCTCTCTCTCTCTCTCTCTCTCTCTCTCTCTCTCCTCTCTTGTCTACCCCTCCTCCTCTTACTCGCTTTCTCTCCTCCTTCTCTCCAGGTTTTAAACGTGGGCCGAGGGGAGGGGAGAAATTGATGGAAAACCCTGGAAGATTGAAAAAGATTAGTTAGATGTAAGATTAGAATGACTACGATGATAGGATAGATAGATAGATAGAATATAATACCATATAACAGGTTATATAGTATGATATTAACCAGTAGCCTACCTATATCTGTCAAATACATCTGAAATGGAGTGAAATGTTCTAAATCTGCCACTAAAATGTAATGGAGTAGAAGTAAGAAGTATCATCCAACTGAAATACTCAAGTAAAAATTGTCCTTAAGTACAGTTGAGTTCATGCACTATGCACCAATGCTAACAATTGATTAAATCATGTCAAATGTTTAGTTTTTACTTTACATCCTGGGAGCATACGGCAGCCCTGAATTAGGATAATCTGGTTACTTTTCGTTGTAGTCCATTGAGCGTGTAAGCAGTATTGTAAATAAACCTTCCACAGCTGGTACAATATTATAGTAGTGAGTGTGAGGCAGGTGCTAAAAAGCTGAATCAATAGAAGGTTTTAAAGCATACATCAGTGTGCTGTTTAAATGTTGGAAATAAAAACTTGCTTGATGCTACAGAGCAAATGATATGTTGCATCAGCACAGCTTTGGCTACCACGAACAAAGAGCATGATGGAGAAAGGAAAAAAAGAAGAGCTGAAAAGAAGTAAATGGAGCACAGAAAAGTTCAGAAGTGAAGAGAGCGGAGTTGGACAGAAGTTACACAACTGTTCTAGGGCTCCTCCTGCTGCCCTGCACAACTCACCACACTCTGGGGTAAAAGCTGAAACAGCCAGATGTGAACATTCATAAAAAGCATAGCCGAATGTGCATAATACAGACATTTCAAAACTCGAAGCGTTACTAAAAGCTTCCAGAAAAGTTTCTAAATCGAAACTGGTTGATTTTTACAGGAGTGAGCAATGATGCAAAGGTTGCTAAATAATTACACAATATCAAAAACACAACCACCAAAGTCTGTAGTTAAATTTTTAATGAAAGCATTTTGTAATGTGAGTTAATATATTATATTGGCGTGTAAAGGTGGATACATTTTATTCTGCTCAAAAATAAAAGTTAATTAAACTAAGTTTTGCCCTCCACTATATCCATGAGTGTCCTTATCTACAGGCCATTGTAGCTGTTTACTTCTTCACCGTTGAAAACTCTGGTATATTATAATGTTACAGCTCACCAACTTGTCAGTCACTTCATACACCTGTGAATGTGTGTAGTTATGCAAGTATGCACAATTGTGAGTGTGTGTGTGTGTTTGGCTCTGGTGTTTGTGCAGTTTCTTTATAGGCAGGTTATTCCGAGTGTGTTTCTGGGTGAGAATTTGTGTATGAGTATGTTTATTTGTCCAGTGTCAGTCAAGCTCCTTGCAGACCCTTAGACCTCCAGGAGCAGGGAGGCTGACTCTGCAGACAGTGAGGCTGAATATGGACTCTCCTCACTGGGCTCGGAGCTCTGGGCAGCCCTGGAGTGCTGCTGGGTCTCTGTGGGGCTGGGCAGTGTCGAGACTACAGCTGGACTGGACAACAAGGTGAGTCACATCATGGAATATGTTAGTGTTTAGATTTATTATTGTATTGTTTTTCATACTGAAATATTCAAATAATATTAAAATATAGATTTATAATACATATAATATATATAAATATAAGTAGGTGTATTGTCATCAACAAACCTATATTAAGTATCATGTAGAATATCTGCCAAGTTCATTCACATATACTACCTATAGAATCTTTGAATTATTTATAATTATAATTAAGTAATTGATTCATAAACATTAACCTGCACTAACATGTGCCTTTATGCATTTATATACACATAATTGGAAACATTTATTTAAATAGCAATTTTCTTCAGTAGAGTAAAAGTCTCAAATTACTTTAAAAGTCAATAAAAAAAACAAAATTTGTCTTATTTATATATTAATATTGTTGGTTAATATATAATATATAATTATTTGGTCAATATATATTAATAATAATTTATAATTTAATAGTTCTCCACTAGATTCTGACAATTTACCCCAGCATAGTGATGTTTTTTTGTGGGCCCTCAAATTTAGGCAGACAGCAGCTGCGCTCAATTCTCAAACTCATTATGTTATGTTGCATGTGAAGGAACAGCAATATTGTTGAGGACTCTTAGAACATGATCTTCCTCTCGCGCTAAGAAGATGCCGTTTTAGTGGGTGAGATTGCAGAAACCATGAACTCAAACGTTAATGAAGTGGTTTTGATCAGCAGGTTCTTTCAGGAGGATGAAGAGATGCTGATTCTGACCCACAGTGATGAGTTGAACACAACCTATGGTGAGGAAAACAGATTGCCTTTTGACAACATCACAAACAAAAATAATACAAGCTGTGATGACACCAGGAGAAACAGACGGACTGAGCAAGATAATCCCAGTGTGAGGGAAAGACCAGCTTCTAACCTGATGGGATCCACCAGCAACTCATGGCAGAAGAGTCCTGCTTTTAAAGAAACCAGAGCTACTGTAATCTCCTCTGGACCCAGTACCATCACCATAACATCAGCAGTTTCCCCTGCAGACCCCCTTTGGCTCAAAAACACCAGACATAATGGCAAAAGAGTAAGACCTGCTGAGATGCAAGCTGACACGATGGGAAGCGACGACAAGGAGAACCAGAGTTTCAACCAGAACCAGGGTAGCAAGAGAAGATCCTTCCGGCTGGCTGGGCTGCTTAGAGGGAATGTGCAAAAACAGAGACTTTCTAAAGATAGAAAGGAGAAAAATGAAGGAGAGGGAACTGCAGAGGGGACTTCTCAGGTCTGTACCAGCTTTGAAGAAGAGCGAGCAGGGATGATTTTAACTAATCCAGTTCAGAGCCCCAATACCGGCACCACAGGTCTGAATCCTGCAGCCACCATCACTGCCTGGGAGGCTGGCTGGAATGTCACAAATGCTATACAGGTACACTTATATAGTATACATGCATGGCCACTTTCTCATTTTAATTTAAAGGATGATTACAAAGGTTTTTCATGTTTTCATTTTTTAAATAACACAGAATTCAGTTCAACTATACCACCTTTTTTAAGGCCCATGAGTACGTTTTACTCTCCAGCCATGTATATACACAGAGGTATCCCTACCGTTTCCTGCTTCCTTGGCAAGACACATAACCCCAAAAAGTCATCTTGGATATAAACCTCTATTAAATTATGTAGTTTTTTAATAGAATGAAGAATAAAACCTGCTTAACATAAACAATCCATGAACCTGTAAGTGTTAGTCAGAGTTATTTAAATACTGCATAGCAATCCAGTTGTGAAGCGCTACTTGTTTCAAATTTTGAGTCGGCTGCTGAACAGCAGTCTTCTGATAACATAGCTCATGCTTATTGCAGCTGCAAACTTGCAATTAATTATTTTGTCGGTTCAATTTCAGCACTTCATTCCTCCCTTTTCACCAAAACTTCATGTCTCTCTCTCTCCCCTCTTGTAGAAGACAAATGCAAAATGTAAAAAGCCGACTGTTTAGACACCAAAAAAAAAAAGCATTAAACCTGCAGCCTATTTAATCTGCTCCCGTTGTGTTTTAATATTACTAAAAAATGCTTTGTGGTCCTACTTTGTGCTGTTGTTTGTCAAGCACTCTACAGTCTTCATAATCAAATAAAGCGTGAATCAAATTGTTTTAAAAAAAGAAAAGCTCCCAGTCACAGTGTGTCCTCGTGGCGGTAATGCTAATAGCTTATTATGCTGTAACTGCTGCGCCGTATTCAACTGCTGTACTCATGTAAATGTGCTCTTTCACTGAATAACTGTAGTGTAATTGAACGCCGTCTCTGGGTCCGTAAAGAACATTATGACATTAGGGCATCAATACAGCGTACGCATGCATACACACAGACATACACACACACACACACAGTGACAAATGAAAGCATGCATGCAAACGTGTTCCTTCAGGAGCTGAGGTGAATTTACATGCTTCTGCGTCAGACTGCTTTCAACACGCAGGTTTTTAATCACTGTTAGCACTGCTATCGGAACATAAATACATATACCATATAACACATTATATTTAGTAGATAAACAAGTACTTTATGTGCTTGGTTTATTGATGTTAGTCTATCTATCTGTTTGCCAGAGAGTTCCAGTTTTCATTAGAGACTAAGTTTTTGTGCCAGACAAGGCACAGAAACTTGGTCTCCAGTGAATCATGTTACTGATTTTAATTGCCTATTCAAATCTATGATTTGTTACTTCTGTAACCTCAATACTTCCAGCTATATTTTATTCATTTGTCCCTAAAACCATGCTGTGATTTGAATAGTTCTCATTTTATTGTTTTTTACTGCAGCATGTTTTTTCTTTTTTGTAAAACTCTGCTGAAACAGTGTCAGCTTCTTTCCGGGACTGTGGGGTTGGTGAATGTTTTATAGGTTATTCATTACCTGCAGCACACTGTAATCAGGAACCTTAACCAAATGGATTGCACTGTAATCATTTTCGTTGAGGTTACAGATAGGTTAAGCTAAGGTGACTGCAGGATGACTAATGTAGACAAAAAGTATTTTTATTGAAGGTGTTTAAAATCTCAGACAGTGATGGGTAACCACTTAGTAAAGATAAAGGACGCAAAATGATAATCTGTTTCAATAATGGCTGATGCATTTGTAAAGGGGAAAACAAATGTCTTGATAATGGAAAAAAGAACAGCAGTTTTATCTCCTATCAAGGCTAAAAAGAAAATATGTATTTTCCCGTAGTGGTATATTGATGCCAATATAACTGACTGTCTGCCAGCTTAATAAAGTTTTTATTAGAGAGCAATTTTGCTGCCAAAAGATGCAAAAACCAGCCCCAGCTCTCAATGATCCCAATTTGGGAATATTATGAAACTCAGTTTTAATTCTAACCTGACCGTTAATGAGGCAGCTCCAGTTTGTGATTCTTCATCGCAAATTAAAATTGTGGAACTTTTGACACCGACACTGAAAAAAACAGATATTAATTTAACTACCTATGGTTATCCGTTTTTGAGTGTCTTTTTTTTTTTTTACCTTGAACTGGTTTGAAAATTCAAGACCCAAGTTCTGAATGGGTTTTTTTAAATTCAAACACAAGAGTGGTCCCTTTTTGTTTTGGAAAGATTGCTGTCATATTTGGTTCATCACGCTGCCAAATAAGACCCTGCCAAAAAAAAGTGGTTAAAAAAGATTTAAAAAATAATCCTCCACCAGTTGTTTGGTAGATCCCCTCCTCTATCATTATCATTGTTATCTGCTATCAGATAACTTGCTCCAAGGAACTGTTTTCATAATCATCCAATACTGGTTAATCTACTGATTGTTTTCTCAATAACCCAATACATTATGGGTTCTTTTAATTGTCAGTTCTGATGACATACCGCAGCAGCTGACCACGATACTCTTACAAACATATAAAAACCCAGTTAAGCTGTAGATAGTTACAATCATTTTCATCATTGATTAATCCATTGATTTTTCTTTCCTATTAAGTAAAGGGGCACTTCACTCATCAGTAGAGTACTATTAGCCTGTAGAAGCAGCCATTTTGACATGAAATAGTGGGGTAAACAGAGGCGTTACCAGTGACACTAATTAAGGTTTGGTTCTATTCAGGTCAAACTGAGTCAGGGTGCTGCTATTGTGCATGTTGGCTCACTGGAAAGGCTCTTCTGCATTCAATCTAACAGAGCCTTAATTAATATCATTGCTAACACCTATATTTACCCTACTATTTCATGTCGAAATGGCTGCTGGGAAAAATGTCTGCTGTCAACCTCACAGTGCTATAGCACTTTTTATGATCACAATCAAATGAAGTAACAGTCGCTAGCATCTCAACACATTTAATGAACACTAAAATGCACATTACTTGTGTACAGAAAGTATGTGAAAATTACATTTGCACATGGTGAAAGAATTATGAGACGAAGGCACAAATTGGACACATCATTTCAGAGTTTTTTCATTTGAACCAGTTAAACAAACTTTGATTAAACGCAGGAGTAGAACATTTGTCATGTGTACAAAAAACCCACATCCAGTTATTTAAATGTCAAACCTGTCCGTTTCTGGTCGCGTCTGCTCCACTTTATCCCCTCATGGTGGGGAAAAACATTTCTCTATCACTTTTTGTGCATGGGGCATGTGCTTGCATAAAATATTGTGCATAACCTGAAGGGCAACAGATGAAATCTTGCACCTGGGAAGTCCAGACAGGAGCAGTGAATAATCTTTATTTTTTTCAGCATAGGTCACTGCTGCTTGGTGGCCAATATTGAGAATGTAAAGTATGAAAAAAAAAAGCATATATGTGCTTGGCCAACATCCCTTGAATATACAGATTTTAAAGGTGTCTTGGGTATCAGATGCAGAACAGAATAATCTTTTCCATCTTCTTCAGAGTCAATCAGAGATATCTATTTTTTCTCCCTTATTGTACCCATTTGTGATTGGGAGCTGCTTCAGGTTGTGCTCAGAGTAACCAATGAGGAATTAGCTGGCAAAAACACAGAGAAAACGAGGAGTGGAGAGAGAGAGAGAGGGGAGATGAAATCAGATACTTGAGCGTCAGATTTCTCTCAAACTGCTTTCATCCCCAGCAGCTCCATTTGAACATCAAAGCTCTATCAGCATATGCCTAACAGACACCAGTTACAAAATAGTAACTTGAAAGAGAGAGAATGTGTGCTTGTCTGTTTATGCATCCACAATGTGTGTTTATGTGCGTGTCGGCCGTGATGATGTGCTGTGATGTATTTCCATAACTCAGTGAGTCTCCGTGTTCCAACACTGAAAGCACAGCAGCTCCATCCAAGTAGCTCGTTGTCTCCTCTGATCTCCTCCTCGTCCTCCTCTTCCTCCCTCAAACCTCCTGCTCTCTGTAGCCATGAGGTCACACCTCTCGTTCCTCCTTCTCTCCTTCTACCTTATCCACCTCCAGTCCCGCTCATCCTTGCTCCTCTCTCTGGCAGTCGCTAACGTTTGCTTCCCCTTGGTGATGGGCCAAAGCTTGACACTCCTCTTCCTTCTGCTCCCGCTGGTCTCCTTGCATGCTCGAACTCTCCAGGCATGAGGCCAAAAAATCTCCTCTCGCCTCCTCATCTTCCAACCATGAACGATCCTCTCTTCTCTTTTCTCCTCATTCCCTTTTCAAAAGGTCTTCCTCATTTTTTCTTTCTTCTCTCTTTCTTTCAACAAAGTTTAAGAATCTTCACATTTTAATGATTTTGGGCAATTATTTCTCATGGAAACACGTTTTAACTGTGGAAAATGAGCATCATGCAGTATGTTGACTTGAGATGTGTACTATATTCTTTGTATGCTGTATTGTTGTACAGGGGGGTATTCTTGTTTACATATCTCAAACACTCTTTCTGCTTATCGTCTCCTTTCTCCCACCTACTTTTTGTACTTATTTTGTTTTATCTTTGGTTTGACTAAAAATTGTATTGTAAAATTTGACTTACAACACTGTGACAAAGGCTGTGACAAAGGTTTTTACATTTCTTTTATAAGTTAAGATAAAACTTTATCCATCCTGTGGGAAACCGCTGCAGTACAAAGAAGGAAAGAGTGCCAATATAAAATATCAGCATGGGTGCAAATAATAAAATGCAAAAATACACACAATGTCAAAAATATAAAGGTTAACGGTAAAGATCATAAACATATAAACTGGTTAATGATATTATATAATGAAAAACTGCCAGCCAGCCAATTTACATTTACCCATTTAAATAAATTACTATTGCACAATAAACCAATCCAGTATAAGTGATCTAGTGGAACATAAGGGAAAATATCAAAAGAAGTGAGGAGGATTAGAGAGTTTCTTTTTAGCATCAGTGTTTAGTATAGTATAGAGACAGGAAACACAGGGAGAAAGAGAGATAATGACACGCTACAAAGGTTCCCAGCCAGAATTGCACCATGGTTTCATGGTCTGTGTTTCAATAGCAGGGCACTCCATGAAAGAGTTTTTGAGGCAACGTTTGAGGGTCTCATGTCTTATCTCCCTCACAAAACCTACCCATTTGTGTTAATTCTTTCTTTCTCTCTGCTCTCCATCAGGGTATCTTTGTGTTGGGTTTACCCTTTGCTCTGGTCCAGTCAGGTTATGTGGGTCTTGTTTTGCTGGTTCTGTCGGCCTGGGTCTGTAACCACACAGGGAGGATCCTTGTGGCCTGTCTATATGAAGAGGAACAAAGGTAAGGTTTCTGCTCTATACTATTCTATTCATTTGGTCTTAATTAGCCAACTGTAATATGGCTTTATTACATTTGGCTTTCTGTTTTAGTGATAGCAAAGATGTACCAAGCAACTAGTTTAACTTTGTGTGTCTGGGATGGGTTTTTTTCTTGGAGTCATTGTTGACTAAGTTTGAGTTTCTGCAGATGGTGCTCTCTTCTCTATTTTCAGCAATGGCGACTATCATTTCTGACAGCAGAGTCATTCTCATATGTATTCCTTCTATTCTATTCAGACTCCTCGGGGGGAATCTAGACCCAATTGTGGTATGAACACAGAGCAGAGAGTTTTTAGAACCCATATACACATGTTACTCTGTTCTTTCAGCAGTGGCGAGCCTCGGAAATATATTACTGCCACAGCTAAAAGAAATGTGAATGTGTTATGTTCTGTAAAACTGTGGTATTTGTCTCCATATTTGCCTTGTGGGGTTCAGTCAAATTAAATTCTGATTCAGATTGGTTCAATTGATTTTAAATATACATTACCAGCTATTAAAAAAAACTTGAACATAAGCTTCAACACAGCTTATAAACATTTTGGGTGACCTTTTGCAAAATATGTAGTAAAAAATATGCTCA